ATAACAAACAAAACCTTTGATGTACTCTCTTTTAAGCCATGAATTGAATACTCAATAAAAATATCAAAGAAAACCTAACAAAATATCTTCAGATATAAACCTTAAGATCCAAAAAGAAGATCTGGAGAAGTTCCCTTAGCTTTGGGAGAAAACCAACTATTTATAGAAAACCAAAGTAATCCTAGTTTTGGAAGAAAGCCAACTCCTATAGAAATCCGGATTTTGAAGCTCGCTCGATCGAAGCTTTTCTCGCTCGAGCGAGGAGCTTAACTTTCGTGATTTCTACTAGTGCCTTGGCTTGAGCGAGTAATCAACTCTTTCAGGTTTTTGTGTGGACGCAATCTGTCGCTCGAGCGAAAACTCCTTGGCTCGAGCGAGCAAGCCTTAGCTCGAGCGAGCATTCCTTGGCTCGAGCGAACAAGGGCGGACATGCAATTTTGAATGCAATTTTGTATTTTGCTTCGGCCGCGAGCTGACCGAGCAGCCCGACCCCCGTAATAATCAGCGAAGTGGCAATCTTGAAAGTATTGACATCACAACTTCTCTGCAAAGCACGATTCGGATTGGATTCACCTCTAACAACTCACAGCCTCACTGAAATAAAAATGCGAATAAAATTACAACTCAAAGGAGTTTTGTTAAACGGGATTGCCAAGAATAAAAACCTAACATTTACGATCATTACAGTTGTTGTTTGTAATGAATTAAAAGCGAACGCTTTCGTTGTGTAGCAAACTCGCAAGAGTTGGACCCTCACTGCTGGCTTTGTCCTCTTTCTTCACCTGTAGCCACCCAATAATGCCTTTGTTTGTGAGAATACTCATAACCATCTCCTGATTGTTCGGAACATCCATAAGCATGAGGCTGAAATGGAGGAGTAGATCGGCAAGGTCCAGTCCCTGAATTGCGTAAAGCTATGCAATAACCTCGACAATAGTGTAACTGTGTGAGCCAACTATGTGGTTGAAAGTTAGTTCCTTGCTTTATGTCTTCATGGAATTTACCAAGTCATTTATGCCGTTTGCCAATGCTGTTACCCTGATTATGCGCTTGTTTTGTATTGCTTTTCTCGATGAATGCTTCTGTTTACTTCCACTTCTTGAAGCATTGATGTTGGAGGAGTTCATCATGTTAGCCATTTTCGAAGCCCTCGATTCATTGTTGTTGCTGAAAAATTCAAGACTCTCAGATTGCTCGTCCAGTTCCAATTTCGCCGAGCGTCCATGCATTTTTACTCGTTGTCACAGCCCCTGTGAAGACACGAACCATTAACTCCCAATGCTCCAAGGTTTTGGTTCTAAACTTGCAACATTCTTTGTCAATCTATAAATGGAGACAATGAAAAGATTATTTTCTATACAATGTCAATTTATAAGTACGTCCCAATATTATTTGAACAAGTGACTGAACAAAACTGAAGAAATGCAAAGAATAATAAATAATAAATAAACACATGCAAATGATATGGCTGAAACAATTGACAGTTATAATTGAACAGGACTGATGAAATAATAAGTAAAATAACAAATGAAAGAAACTGAACTGAAGAACAAATGAACAAAAATTGAAAATGGAAATAACTGAATTGAATTGAAGAAATAACAATGGCCTACTAGTAGATATTGCAGATTTGTTTAAGCAATATGGTAAAAACACAAACCTACAAGTATGTCTTCCATACAAGAGTGATTTAAAGAAAAATAAAAGCTCTTGTCAACTATATGATATTGTTCCGACATCACACTTTATTATCCTAAGAAAGGAAATTCATTTTTCCAATAAAGTAAATTTAAAATTGTGGCCTACTACTTGTTTTTTGTGCCTCCACTTCAAGCCTCATAACAACTGATTCCCATAAACCATTAGTTAGATTGATTTCATTATTTCACTCATGGAGCCTCTAATCAATTCATCTTTCAATATTGTAATATAATTGCAAATATAGAGAACACAGTAGTAACGTTCAATTTGAAGTGGTGGAAAAAAATAGAATGATAACATCATATACCTACCCCCTTTGTGTTGTGTTTTTGTTGAATTGAAAGGGGACCTAGTGGGGTATTTTTGTTTGTCATAATTTATCATTTGTAAGGGATGCTTAAGGGCTCTAGGGTTGGCTATGTCCTTATTTAAAGCCACAGTCCCAAAAGACAAAACATTCTTATAATTGACTAGTAAAATATGGGTATAGCACAAACAATCTTTTAATTGACTAGTAAAATTGAGAATTACTACAATTTCACATTTATATGAGACTAGTTTTTTGATGGAGTTTGAAGACACCTTTCACACAGCTGTAGACATTTGAGTCTACTGGGAAAGCATTAACTTGGCTTTCATTCAAAGGCACTGCCTTCTTTATTTTGTTAATTTTAAGTGCCCAAAGGTTCAAAAATTCCAACCACAAACATAATTATAGTATTCTATCTCATGCCTAAAATCATTGTTCCTCTGTACTATTCAATACTCTTTGATGCTACAATTGAGCACATGAAGATTTTTGTATCTTCAGAGTGTTGTGATCAACCTATTGTACAATTCAAAAAGTGTTCACATATAATTATATTTGTGCACAAATGTATGTCTAAAAATGAATAACAGTTATAACAGTTTGGAATGATAGTTTGGAATGTAATTTGGAAGTTCAAACCCCAACTTCATGTAAAACTGTGCATAAACAAAGCTGGAAACCTTATGTGTCCTATGTAGAAACAAAATATTCAGGTTGCTGTCCAATTCTATCTACTGTATAAAGGAATAAGGGAGGGACCAAAAAAAAAAAAACACATAACTACGTTGCTAAATTCATTTGAAGTTCAGATCGTTACCTTCTCCATTTTAGCCCACCAATCAGGCGACGCATTGAACAACCCAATCACTTAGTCATATCCAATTCTAGTTGGGCCTTTTTGACAATCCATGAGCTCTGACCATGCACGCCATTCCTTCTTCAAAATATTGTACTTGTTTTTCAGTTGTTTGATGTCATGCAGCCTCCCAATTACTGCCTAAAAAGTCCTAGACAAAGATCGGTAGCCATTCTGACTGATTGTCATGTGCGGCCTGTTACTTGCCTCTATTCCTTTAGTACAAGTTTCAAGAAGATCCGTGTGGACTCCCCATCCCAAATAGCTTTGTGATAAGCTTGTTGCCTTTTCCCTTTATCGGAAGGGGTATGGGGAGTGGATTGATTTGATGCCATGCGACTATAATGTTCACGTGCAACAAGATGAAGTAAAAATATTTATACAAAAAAACACAACTATAAGAAATATTTTCAACCAAAACATTAGTTTGTGAAATGTGGTACAGAGGGTAATTTAGTTGCCAAAACCTTTATTTATGAACAGTAACACTATTTCAAACAAAACACACACATGCAGAAACATATGATAACTATAACATTATCAACATAACATAAAACTGTTTTTTTAGGCACAAAACATAATGGTGACAATAATAGCATAAGGGTCACAAAATAGTTACATATATCACATACGGAACAACAATATAATGACGATGATGCACAAAACACATGTCACTACTTTAAGTACACGTTGAGTCTGTTCAATGTTAATCAAACAAGCCTTAAAACAAGCGACATTCTCTCTGTCATTCTTAGGGGTCCTTTGTCACCCATATTCGTCACACCACGTAATCCAATTGACACATAGCTGAGGTTAAAGAATATATTAGTGATGGTTGTACAAGGAAAATAAAATGTGAAGGTGTTTGTACTCATTACTCCACGAGGGCATTGGTAGTACACACGACCTAGGTTTTTCTTAGAATAAGAATCTTTACGACACAGTGCCTGTAGCCACAAGCACACATAGGGCCTAGTTGTGTTGATGTGGCAGTTGATATAAACGAGGTCATGGTTGCTTTGGTAACTTGTTTCGGGACATGAGAAGCACAACAATAACAAGTCAATGGGTGTGATGCTTTTGTTATAGACACCACTTCTTGTGTTAACAAGTTTTTGTTATAATCGGATAAATGAAGGAAATGAGAACATTTGGCATAAAACAGGGTATGAACATCCTTACACAAAATAGGGTATGAAAAGAAAAAAAGATTCCCCAGAGAACATTGAAATCCTAGCCTATAGTCATTTTCTGAAACAACCATTGTCAAGAGACAACAGATAGTAACCAACAAGTGGAGATTGGTGTGTTGTTTTACACACCAAAAATAAACACTAAACCGTATCAAATTTCTTAGAATAAAGGTAAGTCCAAGTATCGATCCACAGAGACAAATGTGAAATTAAACTAATTTAATTATTAAATTCCTAATTTAACTTTGATTAAAAAGATGATGATTCATAAACTAATAATAACTAAAATAAACTAAGAATTTAACATAGCAATTAAAAGTGAAATTGAGATTATTGATTTTGGAAAAAATCTAGGGTAATGAATTCACTATTAGTTACATAAATAAGGTTTCAATTTCACCATTAATTATGTCCAGTTTGAACCAAATAATACTTTGCAATTACAAGTTCGAAGCATTGATCAATATAATTATTACGTTCAATGTATAGGCACGAACCATCTCAATTAGCACGAGTCATTCGCTCTAAACTAAGGTAGCAATACGACTCGTCCCTTGTAGTATGACTCATCTCATACCTTAAATATGAAAGCAAAGAAAACCGTAGCATGGAAAGCATTCAACGATCATAGAAAGAAGGATACTTGAAGAAATAATGGAAAATATATTTAAACATTTCTTGATTACCATATAACTTGTTCAAACCATTACATAATCAAAAACCAAAAAGAAAACCCTATTTACTTGGCTAGGGTTTCATCAAAACCCTAGAAATAGAAGCTTAGCCACTCATGAAGGAGTGAGAAGAGGTAGAAGAAGAAGAAATCCCCATGGAAGATGTTCTTGAAGCTTGAAAACTCTCATTTCCAAACCTTAGCCCCTCATCTCTTTTGGAATTTTCAGAACCCCCCAAAGCAGCCTCATTAATTTTCTGAAAAGTGTTATTCCCAACAGAACAAACTTGTAATTCTGCGCATGCAATCCTAGGTGGGCCGCTCGAGCTGTGGTGAACCGCACGTGCGGCGGAGCCTGGCCGCACGTACAGTGAGGTGGCAGGTCTGGAATTTTCACTACTCGCACAAAGAATATGCTTGTGTTACTTTTTGTTTGAATTTGCGTGTTGCCTTGCCAAATCTGTACAAGTGCACAAAATTCATCATCTCCACCAAATAAACAAAATTAAAAGAGTATAAATTTAACTTAAGCGGCCTCAATGTGGTACATTTTGGCCTACATCATAATCATTTTTAAAAACATTACATAAATAATTGATTCTCAAAAACAGCACCAAAAAATTCAAGAACAACCAAAACAAATACTAAACAAGGTAGAAACACAACTGAACAACAAAAAATTTATGCCAAAAAAAGGGACCAAACTTTGTTTGTATTACTATGGACTATATAACATAAGATTTTAAAGTTAAAAAATGAAAACAATATAGATAAATGATATAGTGACAGTCCCAAAGGAAATCACAAAAATAGTTTTGTCCAATTTTATGTCCATTTCAAAGGATTAGAAGAGGTTATTGGGTTAGGAGTCCTGTGGCCTTAAAAATTTGCACAACCTTCCACAGTTTGTAATGTTTAAAAAAAAAAATTATAAGTCATTTTTAGTGGAACAGTGGAGAAATGAACACAAATTTGTTGGGTACAATACGAAGGGAGAATTGATGCCAAAAAAACAGAAATAAGAAGTTATTTTAGTATTCTATAACCACAGATTTCTATCAAAGTATTGAATGTCATGAACAAATCACCCCAAAATTAACCCTAGATCCACCATTACAAATTTCCAAAAATATATGATTTCACCATTTCACAAATTGAAAATCACATTTTGAAGACAACCAACAAGCAGCAAGTGGAGATTGAAGAAAAAAAATATGCAATCAAAATAACGCCCAAAACACAAAGACAGTGGGTAACATTTTTGTAACCCATACATTTGGGAAAAACATATGCACTCGATTCACCATGTTTGTAGCCTGACCAACAGTCCCCAAATGACCTGCCAACCAGTGTATTCTTTTTTAATTTTAGAAAGATTAAAAAAAATAAAAAAAAATCAAACAAAACCTGGAAATCGTCGATTGGAAAACGTATGGGTACTTCGGAGGGAAGGAGAGCATACCTGTGGTGGGGGCATTCGTTGGAGTACGGAGTACGTTTCCGTTGGCCTTCGCCGGCTATTTTCCTCGGTTGCTTGTTCTTCACTTCAGGGCTTGTGTGGTGTTGTTGCCTTGAACGAAGTCCAACCCTCTCTTTATTCATCTTCTTTTTTGATGTAACCAGTCTTTAGCTGAGTCTACGCTATCAGTCCATCACTTGCAGGTTTTAACAAAAAGGAGAGGCAAAATGTGTTTGGTTTGAGTTTTTTAGACACCATGTGAATTTTTAGACATCCTCTCTCGTATCAGACACCATGTAAATTCAAAGTCTAAATCATGTGTTTGGTTTGAGTTTTTTAAATTAAATTTTTTGAAAATTGATTTTTTTGATTTTCATATTTTTTTATTTTTAGTGAATATTTTTAAAATTTTAAATATTTTTTTTTACTTTTTTAAATGCACCTTACTTAGATGTATCTAAAAAGTAAAAAAAATTGTGAAAAAATATTTTAAAAAATTAATAAATATATAAAAATATAAAAAATATACTGAATTCTTATATTTTTTTGTATTTTTGATATTTAGTGAATTTTTAAAAGATTTTTTTTACAATTTTTTTACTTTTTAGGTATATTTATGTTAGGTGTGTCTAAAAAGTAAAAAAAATTACTACAAACGTAATTTTACTTCGGGGGAGATACGGGGCCGGGGACGGGGCCGTAAAAGCTATCCCCGTCCACGACCCGAAATTGATCGGTGATTTAATTTTGAATATCATTCTCGGCCCATTGGGGATATTTTTCCGGAAAAAATCGCTCCTATCGGGGATTAGAGAGCGGGTCCCCGTCAGGCCGGGTTTAAATTGCCATCCCTAGGTGAAGTTCGTTTATCCACCATCTATGTTTACATTTTGAATTTTTAAAAGACATGTTTTATTATTCAAGTGGTAGATGTTGCTGAAGCGATTGACATATATGTGAGCACTGTCTTTAGTCGCATCACTCGAGCAGTAAAGTGAGCACTTGAGCAGTCTTTCTGGCTCTTTTTAATATAAAGTGCGATGTTTGTTATTTTTAGGGTTTAATCAGTTCATATTTCTTAGAAAGGAAGAAGAAATAAAGTTTTTTATATTTGAGTGTGTTTATATATGAGTTTCGTTGATGCATAGAAGGTGATTGATTGATCAATGAATTATCTATTGATAAACATTAAGGGTTGGTTTTATTTTTATTTTTTCACAAATAGAGATAGGTATTCATTAGTGGATTTTGAAAAACTTGAGTCTAAAGTTTTGGTAGATTTTGAAGTGACTTATCATTTTGGATTTGATATTGACGTTGTGAATTTAACATTAGGTAAAGCAATTCTAAGGTGAATATGGCGACAAATGAGACATATCGACTTTTGTTCAATTCGGCTTTCGATTCGCTAGGTAATTAAGGGTTCTAGTGTATAATTCTTTCTCCCTCTCACTCTCACTCTCACACTGTCTCATCTTCCTTTCTTTCTTCTTTATCATCAATTTCATTCTCTTGTTCGGCATTGCAGAACACAACACAATCAATGGGACTGATTTTTCCCTCACACTCTCTCATCTTCCTCTTTTTCTTCTTTGTCATCAATCTAATTTTTCGGACTGATATTCTGATTTTTCGGACTGATATTGTGATTTTTAGACTAATATTGTGATTTTCGGACTGATATATTCTAATTTTTGGACTGATTTTGGAACTGATTTTTGGGACTGGTATATTCTAAATTTCGGACTAATTTTGGAACTGATTTTGTATTTTTTGGGGACTGATATTATAATTTTGGGCATGGATCATCTGGTTTAGGAGGGTATAATAGTTTTAGGCTTTGAATCTGAATGTGTAGGAGGATAGGATTGAGAGTTGAGTTGAGTTTCTTTTGAACCCTGATATTATAATTTTGAGTTTCCTAGTCAGGAGGATAGGATTCAGTTGCTTAATTATTTTGCTAGCTAGGTCCAAATGAACCTTGGTAATACTTGTATGATTATATCAGTTTCTCACTTTCTCTAGCTTGTTCTGTTTGCAGATTCTCAATTTAAATAATCTCCTTTTGCTTTTTGGACCAAAGTCACTTCTACTCACTTTTCTGTCTATTAAATTTTACATGTTTCCTTATGCAAAATCTATTCCAATCATGATCCACATAGATTAGGTGAATGGCTGTATTTTCTGTACTATGCAGATGGCATTTTGTGTCCTAAAACATATGCAGGCTCCTATTAACTAGTTGAGGAAGACTCTTTTCTTTTCCTTTTTCTTTTTCTTTTTTGTTGTTAAGTTTTTCTTATCGAGGTTATGAATAAATTATACATTTCTCATGATGATTCCAAAGCTATATTACCTCATTATTAAAGGAAATTTTGGATTTGGAGATCATTCCAAGTTTTGAAATGTGGGTTTAATTTCAAGTCACTGATGCAAATTCTTCAAGTTGAGGGTTAGAGTTTGCCGTGGATTTTCAACTTTTCTTTTATGTTAGTTTTTGTGGTGGACAATCTCGTTGGTCAAATATATATATATATATATATATATTCATTTTATATATGTGTTATGAGGGTTTAAATGTGAATTTAACTTGAGTTGTACACAATTGTCCAATATTTTGAATCTTGATTTGAGTATTTTATTTTATTTTTGTCACTTCATTGTTAAAGTTGATTAATTGCTTGAGCGATTTTTAGTGTGTTTGAACAGTGAAATTGGTTCATCCAGTATTTATGTTTACATTTTGATTTTTTAAAAAACATGTTTTACCATTCAAATGGTAGATGAGCGATTGGCATATATGTGAGTACGGTCTTTAGTCGCACCGCTCAAGCGAGAGTGAGCACTCGAGCAATCTTTCCGGCTTCTTTTAGTATAAAGTGTGATATTTGTTATTTTTAGGATTTAATCTGTTCATATTCTTAGAGAGGAAGAAGAAATAAAGGGTATGTTTGGTTTGGTTTGGTTTTTGGAAAGTAGTTTTTAAAAATTGTTTTGGGGAGGGAGTTTAAAATTTTTTTTGATTTGTTTGGTTCTGTATTTTGAAAGTAATTTTGGAGTTTGGGAGTTTAGAATGATTTGATATCTTGTTATAATTGAGTAGATATGTGTGAGAGATAAAAAGTGATTGATTGAGAGAAAGTGATTTTGGAAAATTTACAAACCAAACAAATTTTTTTGAATTTTTTTCTCAAAATCACTCTACAAATCCAAATCAAACATACTTGAGTGTGTTTATATATGAGTTTTGTTGATGCATAAAAGGAGATTGATTGATCAATGAATTATCTATTGACAAACATTAAGGGTTAGTTTTATTTTTTTATTCACAAAAGAGATAGGTATTAATTAGTGGATTTCGGAAAACTTGAATCTAAAGTTTTGGTAGATTTTGAAATGATTTATCATTGTGGATTTGACATCGACGTTTTGAATTTAACATTAGGTAAAGCAATTTTGAGGTGAATATGGCGATGGATGAGGCATATCGAGTTCGGTTCAATTCTGCCTTCGCTAGGTAATTAAGGGTTCTAGTGTATAATTCTTTCTTTATCTTCTTAGGAGATTATTTTGTGGTTTTAATTTGTGATTTTTTTATCAGAATTGGAAGAGTCCAATTGTGATTTTTTCCATATTAAATCATTGCATTGATTTGTTGTTGATTATTTAATTAGGATTATTATTTATTATTTAAAATTAAATCATAATCACAAATTAATACCTTAGGAGTTTTTAGATTTTTTATTTTAGAATTTCCTGTCACTGTGTGATGAGGAACCTAATGAGGTTTGGTTTGAGAATATGCTATTTTAATATTTAATTTTTTATGAAAACATATATAAAAAAATAAAAAAAGTGATATGATAGTGACTCTTTAATTTTTTAATTAAAATATATAGTTGACAAATAAGACCTGAGTATGTGACTCATAATGGCTCAGTAGCGGTGAGCATCTAATTAATTACTACTTTGTCAATCCCTCAACCACTAGCCCTTTAATGTAATCATTGTGAACTACTGAAGCGGTTGCAATATTGCCATGATAAAAGTTCTCAAGTCCTTTTCATTGGACGTGTTGGGTCAGCTAGAGGGGGTCATTGAATCAAACTACTTGACAAAGTGTTTTTTACTTTGCACATCCAATGAACTGTTTGCTTAGTAATTCAAATTTCACTGAAGGGCTTCCAATGGGTTTGTTTCGTTCAATGGTTATCCCAGTTGCATTGGGACTTGAAGGTTGGATTTGTGCCTCAATCCTGATCTTGAAATCATTTAGAATGCAATAGCAGCAGTTTGGAGGACTCTGCTTGGTGAGTTTGTGGCCAAGGCCGTAAGGGCGGGCGGGCCTGGGTAAAGGCTGGTTTGAGTTTATTTCCAGCCCCTTGGGACTTAGAAGTTTTGATTGTTGCTTGGAGGATTCAATTAATGCCTCCTCGTGAAGCACTGGACTACAAAATGCCATTCATGATGTATATCACATTGCTTCTCAACTGTATCAATTAATAGGAGCACTAATAATAACATGAGTGGAGTGGTCTCATCTTACTTTAAATAATAATTTTTATGCTACAATGGTTAGTCTCAGTTTGGGAATGGGAGTGTTGCTCGATGATGAATGCGAGAAATGGTTTAGAACTCTATGATACTATTGAATAATTTGTGGATGGCTTGAATTTATTGAAAAAGCCTTGTAGCCATTTCGTAAAAGGTGCTATGCTTCAAGAATTGGTGCAGCCAAGAACTATCTGTGCATTTCCTTTCTTGCCTTTACTATGGCTGAACATTCTCATATTTATGAAGACTTTCTGGATTCATGGCCACAAAATACAACTGAGATGTCTCTTCTTCCAAATTCTTCCAGTGAACTTTCACATTTTTTAACTCAGTCTAGGACTGCTGATTTGGTAGATCTAATTTTATGCAAGGGTTAAAGAATGAAACCTATATGCATAATTGATATCATAGTATTATCTATACAGAGATTTACAAATAGGGTTGAGCAACGCCTTGTATGAGAGTAGACTAGGCTATTTTTATATTGTTAACTCTTTTTTCATCATGAAATCTACGTGATATGCACCTTATCGAACCAAACAACAAATTCAGTTTTCCAAATAAAAAGCAATTGGATTCGCAACACGTGAAATTCTAACACTACACACTTCAAATGTTCCTAACTGAAACCATGAGAAAGATAACAGAGTCCTGTCTTGGGGAGGCCATCTTTTGGTGTCTAGACT